ATATCACTATTTATTAATACGATCAGATGAGTTCTGCTACAACTGTGTCATCACTTATTTAATAAACTATAAAAAATATTTTGTTACAATATATGATAATATCAACTACTAATGCAATGTTGTTGTTACTACTAAAATTTTGAGGATGTGGGCATAGTTACTATACTTATTGCATACAAACACACAATATATTCCACACCCATCTATCGTCATCGAAAACACCAAAAAAAAAGAAAGTTTTACTTCTCTTCAATTGATCAAGTACTCCACCATGCGTCATATTTTAGATGGTATACTAAAGAAATCTATGCAGATATAATCATACTAAATAGTATTATTAAAATTAGAATTCAAAATCAAATTGAAATATGATTTGATATCTTAGCTTTAATAAGAGCGTACAGATTAACATTTTGATCGTCATTGAAGTTTCAAAGCAAACAAAGGTTTTATTTAGATAATGAAGAAAAAAATAAACGATAGGATATATAATGATAAACAATGAGTATAACAAAATATAAAATATATGTGTAGACCAGTTCGTTTCTTAATGACACTTGTTTGGTCCATGTTGAATAGCATCAGCAGCACCAGTCATATCTTTATCAACTGTTACATTCATGAAACGACTGAGATGTTTCTTTAAATATTTACCTGGTTGATAGTCTATATCTGGAGGACAATTACGAAGAGTATACCATCTTGTCATGAAATAATACATTAATTTCATTGGACCAATAGCAAAACCGTCATCGTGTAAATTGGGATAATAGCGATTAGGTGGTATAAGAACTGTTGTATTAACATTGAAAGGATCATTTCGATCGAGGGTTGATGGTAATCGAATAAGTGTATCTATACGAGCACGAATAAGCAATTGATATTCAATGTTGAAGCGTTTTCCATAATCTTTCACCAGATCATAACATTCTGCAAGGGCCCATAATTGTTGAAAATAACCGACAACAGGAATGGGTGCTCCGCCCGCTAATTGAAATTCAGGATGACAATCAGCTGGTATTTTAGGATCAATAACTCTATCTTCGTAAATCACAGTAACTGTTGAGTTCGGATATGAGCGTACTTGTTTTAATCGAGTGTCTATAGGGACAGGACCTTTGGCAAGAGACGAAGAAAGAAAGATAAATGTATCGATATCACCAAGAAGGCGCTGTCGAATCGCAATATCAGTGGGTGCCCACGCTTCTTCAATGCATTCAGTAAGACCAGTAACACATATGGCTGCTCGTTTCTGAATAGTGGTACGTGGTGGTGGACGAGAAATAATCGATGGAAAAGTGTACCCCACTGAATGAAGATCAGCAAGCCATGCGTCAATAATCTTAACTTCGTTTTGATGCCAAAAACCAGATTGAGCAATATCTCTTGCTAGCTGAGCGATTTTTTTGGGAAGAGATGAGAAAGATGAAGACCAAGAAGCAAGAAAACGAACAAACGAGCCTGATTGATTGTATAATTGTTGTTCTTTTTCCATATCTTTGATATAAGAATGAGCATTTCTCACCTGTTTTACTGTCGATGTACTGAAGACGAGACGACCATCGATTTCCCACAAAAGACGTTGAACCCAAAAACTTCGCCAAATATCACATACACGGAATGTTATTGTCACAGGTAAAAAAAGTCCCCAAAAAGCTTCATAATGTATTATCGTATTTTGAGTATTATATGGTGAGAATGTAAAAGGTTCAATAGCAACTGGTGGTTCATTTGGATCGAATTTAATTTGACCAATTGAAAATGGATTAGATAGTCGATACTTTATAATAAATGAAGAGTAAAGGTTATATATTTAAAAAAAAATACAGCAAATAAATATATAAGAACATATATATCAGATAACTCACTATTGCATCGACATCAGGATCAAGATCAGCTAAATATTGTTGTATGTAAGCATAGGTTATCTTGTCCTTATTTCGTCTTACCGAATGCCATCCGTCTTCAGTAACATTTCTTAATTCATCCATAGGAAATCCTCTGGGGCATATCTTTGGATGACCAAAAGATCCATAAATGTTAACAAAAGGTGATCGTTGTCGATGAAACGCTACCCAAGGTACATCATCTGGTTTAACTACTTTCGGTAGAACATGAATATCGTCTGTCAATAAAATATTATCATCATCTGATTCGAAGATTATTTTAGCTCCACAAGCGATAGCCACTAAATAACCAATATTCTTCCTCGTATATGAGTTCTCCGGTAAATATTTAATAATAGAATAATCAAGAGATAATTGTTCTTCAATAGACAAGAATATCACACGAGATCGATCGCTATGTAAATGTGAAAGCCAATCATGTGGAGTCTTTCGATCACCGATAACAATCAAATTCCATTTAGTAGTCAAATTAAGAAATTTATGAATAGCCACTGTTGGATAAAGAATAGATGTAACTACAATCCAACGGTCTCCACGAAAAGGACAAATAAAAGATGATGATTTTTTTATGTTTAATAATGATGGAATAGATTCTGTACCATATAATTTTGTAATTTCTTTGTGTAAGCCTAGTAGAACTATGCATAACAAGATACTGATGGTTATCAAGTATTTGACTGAGTTTCTTGACCGCATATTTTATACCAGATTTCGAATATGTAGAATCTCTAAAATCGCAATAACAGTACAGTATATCATTAATATAGTCTGATTTTATTGAAACACTATTTGCTTCAGTTGTTAGAATAGAATCAGTTTAATATTTACAGAACATCAAATTTTTAAAGTTGTACCACTCACTTTTGATTCGCTATATATCATTATCATTAACTGAATACGAACGTAAATATGAATGTAGATATATACAATATTACTATGTAATATCCATATTATTACAGTCATACTCACAGATACAAATAATTATGATGTATCAAAAAAAGAAAAAATACCAGTTGTTTGAGTACTAAAACTATTTAGAATATTAGACTAGATCTCCACTTGAAGCAAGTTCAAGTAGAAGAAAGGCGGCTAACTGCAGAAGTGTAACAACCCTCATAAACATGGAAAGTTAAATCATTTAAAATTTTGTTTTATTTGATCCTCAAAATCAATCAATTAAACTCAGATGAACAAGTCATCGAATAATTACTTTTCATAAATTAGACTCTATCATGATGGATTTAAGTCACAAAAAAAACAATAATTAAAGTGTATATACATATAGTATCTCATATATCGATGGTCGCATACTACTAAGTCACACATAACCATATAAGGAAATCACTATGTGTTAATTATTTTTTTAAATTATGTATCTCCCACACGGAACCGAATTTCAAAAAACGGTTTTCAGATGTGCACTCAGCACGTTCTCACGAATACTGCAAGTTTTTTTTCCGGTTGAAAATGTTGCTTAGATTCTAAGAACAAAGTGTTGACTTTTGTCGTAATTCATCTGTCGAGAAGAAGAAAAAGAATATCAAAAGGAGTAAGTCGACTGCTGCGTTACGTGCAGTCAGCCGTTTTAATTACCTTCTATTTATTTTATTTCACTATGAAATAAAGTAATTAATTCGTTTTAATTTACTTTTTAATATATTCATAAACATCAAATTTGCCACATGCATCAAGTAAAATAAATAAATAAATTCATCGACATGTACTTTATATAAATGCGTCTGAAAAAATATATAAATAAATAGCTATAATATAAATACATTTATAATACACAGAGTCATGCGATAGCTGAAAAACAAATTTTATCGGCTCACTTCAGATGCTTAAGAAAATAATGAACACACAATTCTATCCGTTGACTGACACATATGAACAACCAATAACTCCATGGTGATCACTATTTATGTGACTCTCTCCAAATTCAAATAAAATTTCTGCAATGTAGAAAATCAAGTATTTTTGATGTAGATGAAGTTAGCAGTGGATTCGAGTTTTTCTTAATATTATCCACTTGACAAGGTGTGCCACCTATCGTTTGTTGTGTGCCAGGTAGAACTCGATGAAACAGCCACACTCTCATCCACAGCCTCGAAGTACTATTTAAATAAATAATACATCGATGGACTTCTTTAATAACGATCATGCACACACATAAATTTTCTTTATTTAGTATGTCACATAGTTTATAGTGCTTAGCTGTAGAAAAACGAATTTATTATTATTTTCAAATAATTATTGTTGCCATTTTTCGACTTCATGAGCAATTTTTGACTCAACAATAAATGGATCAGCCTTGTGTCTAAATGATTGCGAATCTTCACTCATCAATGGCACCGGAGCATATTGAACATTGTATGCTGAACGAAGAGCTTTACTATGATTCGCCGAGGAACAATGTAATGTCAAACTGGAGAAAACTACAATACTTCCCACAGGACACAATACTTCAATGCCTGGATCGCTTCCAAAATATCCTATTAAATCTGGACTATTATCATCGTTTCGATGTTGATAGCATGGAAACTCAGTGACAGCTGACGGTCGTGGCTTGGCACACCAATTGATTTTGTGATTTTCATCTTCTGATGGATTTCTTTCAATAGGTAATACAGAAATTGTTCCATTATTTGTTGTCATTTCTGTCAAAGCACACCAACAACTTAAATACGGTGTATGTTCATATGGAACATAACCACTATCTTGGTGCCAAGCGAAAGCTGTTCTTCCTGACATGTCTTTGTCACCTTCTCCGCGTTTTACAACAATTTCTGAATGAGTATAATACGCAGTATCACCTAACACAGCTATAAATCAATGAAATTTGTTAATTTTGTAATTTATAAACTATAGGAATTACTTCCATACCTTTCACTATCTGTTCCATATAAGAACTGAATATAATTTTATGCATATCAAGTTCGTTATCTTCATGCATAAAGAAAAAGTATTTTCCATCCGTTGAGCACTGAATTAGTCCACCATCATTAGCTTCTACGTTTGGTCTTAAATCTTTATCACGTTTAGCAATTGCTCGTTGAATAACTTCTGACATTATTGTAATATGTTCAGCTGGAATGATAGATGGTAGAATAAAATAACTGAAAATATATTTTTCTTAACTTTATAAAGATTATCAAAAGACGTACCCATGCTGATCGAATTGCTTTAAGTGTTCGGAAGTAACTAACGAATTTAGAATCGACATATCGATCGTGTATTCGTATTGTTGAGTAAAAAGTATCTCTTAGAAAAGTTGTTGTATGTTTAACTAGTTAGAATAGAAGACTTTTTTGTTAATATATGGTTACCTTTTACACGTGCAGATAAGAGCTTGTATCTCTTTATCAAAGATAACTAAGATACTAATGCAACCATTGGATTTCTTCAATCACTATATTTTAAGTGCAGCAGAATAGTTTTTCTCTCGAAATATTTTATTATATTTAAAACTAGTGTTTACCTGTATACACTGCAAAGAAAAACATAAAAATAAAGTTTACTTCATCTTATAATTGGAAAAAGAAAGCAAACCCAATTTTTTTATAAACGATACGTCACAAAAAGATATCTTTTAAATATTCTTTCTTATTGTTAACAGCAAAAAACATCATGTATGAAGTAGGCTTTTCTCTCCATCATTTTTACATCCATCTGTAAAACTAAGTCACATAACATAGAAATATTCCTCGAGGATATAGACATTTTCTACTAGAACTGCTATATCCTTCAACTCGTGTATTAATAATAACTAGAATTTTAATATTATGGAAATTTATTTTATAATCATTGCATTTTACACTAAAAATAGAAATCATATTTAGTATAGTAATACACTGAAAAGGAAGAAAATTAGTTATAACGCAATATTTATAAAATATATGTTAACATCATATGTATATTCTTAGAGAAACATATAAACAAGGATTTGGGTGCGGGTGGGGGTATTCTAATCTGTTGACACCAATCCTCACACCCACCCTCAATCCAGTCACCGAATCCGTTCAGCGGGAATACTGCTTCCATGAAATCTTCGGAATACCACGGAACCGGCCGTTTCCGTGCCGGATTGTTCGACCTGGATATATAAAAATTTGTTATGGTTTTGTCCAAAAACATTTCATATATTTTAATCTCGTTCATATTCGTTCATCTCTTTCGATATATCTTTACTATATATATGTGCATCGAACAAACAACATATTTATCATATAATGAAATAATTTATTACAATGGATGAGTGCATAAACATATGTACTTCAAGTAGTCTCAAATACTTTATCGATGACTTTAAACAATTAATACAATGGATGTTATATAATAAATGGCAAGTCTTTATAATTAATTTTATGTTAATAACTATTTATGCAATTGTTAATCGACAAAGTGATGCTTGGCAAAATCTTGTGTGCATCTATGATATTCTACGATCTGATCTCAAAGCAGCAATTAATGAAATTTGGTTATGCTTAAATTCTGTTATTATATCCCTTTCAAAAGTTATAACTGTTACAAAAATTATAGAATTGCTAATAATCAGATTTATTATGGTATTAATACCTGATGTTCTACAATTCATATTAAAAACTTTGAACAAACTTGGTAAAATTCAATTTGATTTAGTTACGTGTAATTTTTATAATGTTACAATGAAGTAAAGAAATGCTACAAACATGATTTAACTAACCAGATCCGTATTTACCTTGATATTTTGACAATGTTGTTACGTCATTATCAGAATAAAAACGTATTTACAATTGCGTTTAAAAGAAATTCTTCGATGACTATTTTAAATGCAAAGGAATGATTTTTTTTCTAGAAATATTTTTATTGTGTTTAAAACTATTGTTTACTTGTATACTATGAATCGAATGCAACGACTCCTACGCTATATAATCTACTTGAACCAAATTCATCTGACAGCAGTTTTCAATTACATGTAATTAATCGTATCAGAAAATAAAAATAGATTTCTAAAAATATTTTATTATATTTATAGATATAACGTGCATTATTTAGTATAAAGTAACTGAATATAAATGAGTTTATGATCAAAATTTCATAATCAACTAATTTTTGTATAAATGACAAATATACCACAAAAGATTTTTTTCTTTTAGGCAATTCTTTCCTATTTAATTTAGCTTTGAATATACATGTAGATGATTAATCGATAAAATATTTTCAAAATGAATTTGACTACAATTTTCTCATATTCAAAGAACTTGCACTATTACTAATTGATTATCACATATTTGCGATAGCAAATAGTTAAACTCATCGTATAATTCCTTCACATAATACAGTGAAGAGGAAGAAAATTAGTTATAAAACAATATGTATATTCTTAGAGAAATATATCAGACTACGAATGGTACTGCATGCATCATCAAAGAAAAAAAAATTTATTATTAAAATGAAAGTT